AATTATTTTCTTTCTATATATTCTTGGTTATTTGTCTTCCACGTGTAGATTAGAATTACCATTTTCCATGTCACGTGCGTATCAAGAGCTCATAGCTTCCACAATGCCTTCCAATGCCTTTTACAGGTTTTAATGCAATAAAGTTTGTAGTTGAAAACTTTGAATTGAGTTAATTTATTTTGTTTAATTTCTAGCGATTTATTCCATAAACACACGAAACATAACATTTCTTCAACAGAACTACTAGTATCTCAAAACAAACACATGGAAATCAATATTCGGGAATCCAAAGTTCCTGCAAGGCTAGCTAGGACCCATTGTCCGCACGTCCAATAAGTCTTTTTGGTAATTGGCCATTTCCGAGTTACCTTGCGCCTCTGTTTCAAAACGAGTCCTCTTGCAAAACCTTTCTCATTGAAATGAGTTTGAGGACTCGTTTTGAGGAAAAAAGCGGACACGGAAATGGCCTATTTTCAGTTCGAAACACTTTGAGCTTGTTTAAATTCTTTGTGATAGCCCATGATAGTTTTACCGTTTGACCAGGCGTATGATAGTTGACGATAGCTAAGGGACACTTGACTATCATAGGACTCATCATTTACCGTTTGACCACGGTTTTAGACCCAGTGGGCCTCGATCATTCCCAATAAAAAGTTATATAATGCTACTCTTAAAAAATTATCCTTTACTATTGCTGTTACTGACGTAGATAGCCCCCTTACTAAATCGCTCTTCTACCGCCTGGGTTCAACCCGTGGTAGGGAGAGTTCATGGACTGGACTAAGACATAAGATGTCGACAGTCTAAATTTCGGAGTAGCCTCGAAAATTAAGGAAAACCACAAGACAATCATGGACATATCCCAACCCTATCTCACGTTAATTGTATACTGCGCGAAGCAATCTCGATTAGATAGTTGGTTTCTTTTTTTTTCCTTCATTTTTTCTTCATTTTTTCCTTCATTTTTTCCCAATTTTTTTTTATTCATTTAATTATTTTTATTTTATTTTATTTTTGTCTCCGGTGTTTATGCATAAATATCATGACAGAATGGTTTAAACTCTTTATAGTTAACAATGAGTGTCATATTCATAAACAGTTTTATTATTATCATCATCATCATCATCATCATCATCATCATCATCATTATCATTATTATTATTGTTGTTGTTATTATTATTATTATTGTTATTATTATTATTATTATTCATATAAAGGTTTGCTGAGCGTATCCTACCGTCTAAGCCCAACGAACAAAAACAAAGGGTTCAGTGCCAATTGATTGTAGATAGGNGTAGGGAGAGTTCATGGACTGGACTAAGACATAAGATGTCGACAGTCTAAATTTCGGAGTAGCCTCGAAATTTAAGGAAAACCACAAGACAATCATGGACATATCCCTACCCTATCTCACGTTAATTGTATACTGCACGAAACAATCTCGATTAGATAGTTGGTTTCCTTTTTTTTCTTCATTTTTTCTTCATTTTTTCCTTCATTTTTCCAATTTTTTTTTTTTTTTCATTTAATTATTTTTATTGTATTTTATTTTTGTCTCCGGTGTTTATGCATAAATATCATGACAGATTGGTTTAACCTCTTTATAGTTAACAATGAGTGTCATATTCATAAACAGTTTTATTATTGTCATTATCATCATCATCATCATCATTATCATTATTATTATTGTTATTATTGTTGTTATTATTATTATTATTATTATTATTATTATTATTATTATTATAAAGGTTTGCTGAGCGTATCCTACCATCTAAGCCCAACGAACAAAAACAAAGGGTTCAGTGCCAATTGATTGTAGATAGCGTCTCGCATTTCTTGTTTGGAACATAATTTCATCCCAGCACATATTGATGATACGTATCTATGCCATCAA